GTCAAGATGTGTGTTGGTGATTGAAACGACTAGCTCTTTCGCGAATATAATGGCAAATGAAATGGCCATTTTACTTTGCGGCTCTTATTTTTATCAGTAACGATCCATGCATCTCGAAATGTTAAACCTGAGTAGATTGTGAATTAGGAATCCTGAATTATTTATAGTAAATAAAATATAAGTTATAATAATAATTACAATAATACATTTGTACTTCAATAAAGTTTGAGAACACATCTGACCACTTGTACGAAGCAGCCTATCACGGACAGAATGACCCTGTATCCGGTCAGTATCGCTTTTTATTATTTTTTTTTCTCTCTTAGATATTCCTCAAAGGTTATGCTATCGCATCGTCGTCATCTTATCACTGCGTAATGATATCACGTTCTTATCATCGTGCTATCTTGTTATCATTTCAATGTTATGTTATCATATTATCTTATTACTGTGGTATCATATTTCTATCTTGATATCATGTTACCATATTTCCATCTTGATATATTGTCGTCATAATATTTCTTCTAATTATATTTTCCAAATAGGACCCAGCAATGTCATTATATAACGAAATATTGCTATGTTTTGATAATTAATGATAACGTAAAATTGATAATTTGTCAATAATTATTAATAAAATCCTCAATAATCATTAATAATAATCATAAATAATTTTTGAATATTCTTCATAAATCCTCAATAATCATTTCTAATCATCAGTAATTGTAATAATAATAATTTAAAGTTGTTGTCAATCGTCATTAATGAATCATTGATAACCACGCAGGCGTGAGTGAATGCATCATCATGGGCATACCAATGAGCATAGGGACTGGCTTGTTTAAACTCTTACAAAAGTTAGTGCTATAAAATTTTCAACAGAAACATCACCGCCGGTAGCCCACTGCCTCTTGGAACAGTCTTAGACTGTTTGTAAACGATGAAAACAGCACGTATCGAAAGGCCTTCACATAAAAAATCTGACCTTTTTTTATTGGGATGTCTTTTTTTCATAATTTTATTCAGTTTGCATGTATCACTCACTTTAGAGCAAAACTCAACCGACCAACAAATTCTAATAACATCCAATTACCGACAGTACATTCTGGAGTGTTGCTTAATGTTATTTAGCATATAATGATTACTATGCTAATCTGTTGAAATATTAAGCCCTTCTTTTTTATTTTTACAGACGTGAAGAAGAGATGAAACTAAGCAGAAGACCATTGCTTTTTGAGACTCCAGATTTCCATTTACTTGAAACAACGATCTAGTCGCGTTCCCTGTGAATGATGAGAATTCATATTTTGAATTACATTGTATTTCAGTTCACTTCTATCTGCTAACTTTTAGTCAAAAAGTAAACTTTGCTTTTACTTGAGCCCTGGTACACGAGAACTGCACGCAAGTTGTTTCGAACACTGTGATTTTTTTAATGTTGCATCGTGTTCCGTCTAAATAACGTTGTAAATATGTAATTTCATATCAAAATTTTTATAAAACAGACCGCAACTTTAACGTTTAACCATATTTATTTGTTGTGACGTCGTAATGAATGCATGTACTTGTAAATTATTCTGAACAGTTGCTCAATTTTTTGTGATTCGTGTATTTTTTCCAGTCGGCGTAATCTTTATTAAGCCAAATCAACACAAACACATTGCCGTATCCCAAAATGTGGGTATCCAAAATGGCGAACTACTCTTTGTAGTTTCTGCTTGATCATCTGATTAAATGTTTGTTTAGCGTGATGTCCTAGTGGTTGAAAGCGCCTGGTCCTATTTCGCGGTGCGTGCAGTGACCAGATTCGAATATTACAAAAGGATTCCAGCTTACCACTATACTTGAGTGTGATGCGTCGTTTAGCATGTAATCTTATACGCTGTTTGTGTGTTGTTGATTCCTCTCTAAACTTTCGGTGAGTCCATGAAACCTTTAACTTTTTTTGATCCAATCAATTTTTAATTTAAATCAATTAGTTTATAGACCGCTATTTCTGCGATGTCCAACAGCGCTCCTCAATGAATTTTGCAAACAGATGGGTCTTGAGATCCGCTCTGAACTTCGTAAGTGATGGAGAAGTAATCAGAGAAGGAGGTAGAAAGTTCCAGAGAAAAATGCCAGAACAAGCAAATGCAAATTTAGAAAAAGAGTGTTTAACACGAGTTAAGAAGAAGTGAGAACAGGAAGACCGGGGCGTTTAGGTTCAATTAATTTATCTGATAAGTACTTAGGAAATAATTTAGATTAAGACTTATACATAAATGCGCAAATTTTTAAAATTATTCTATATTTTATAGGATGAGAAGCAATCGATTGAGATAAAGAACTATTTAACACCATAATGAACGACATTATTTTTAAATTAAACAGACGTGTTCAAGATACGTTTATCACAACATTGAAACAAGGGCGAGGCCCATTGATACTGGCATCAACTTCGAGTCACAACAAATGTTTCATTTAACAAAACCTAAAATATGTGTAATACAATAATAATTCAGATCCTGCCTCGCCTCTCGACGTTAACATTAGATACAAATGTTATATAAATGCAGTATAAGTAATGGAATAAATGTTAATATGAAGAAATTGAAAAAGATAAAAAAAAATCAATGCACCGGTGTAGTGAATAGGGTAAAAAGGTACTTTTTTGAAATAAGATAGAAAATATATTTTAAAATAAAATGTAAATATAAAGACTGGTTGAGATCAAAATAAATTTGAATCACATCACGAAAAATTCCGTTAATTGCATACATACATACACACGTACATCCATACATGCATACATACATACACACATATGCATACATACATATGCATACATACATGCATTTATTTCATTAATGGTGAAGCTTTCAGTTATGAAGCTGAGTTGTGACAGCTCATGACCGACAATCAGTTAGATTTACGGTAGACAACTGCGTTCTGCGTCGAAGGCCCCTCGGGGAGTGGGGGTGCAATGGGATATTCAGGAAATGTGTGAACAGCAACAGGCGATGCACATTTTGTCATAAGTTGTTTGTAAGTTTGATGCTGAATGAAGCAGCAGATCATGACAGTCATGTTGTCACATCCTAAGCCACCCATCTTGATATCTGGAGCCAGACAGTTTGTCATCAATTCCTCGCATATCTAAGGAATGTTATCAACTTTTTTATTTATTTAAAAATCTCATAAACTGTTCTGATTTAAATTTTAAAAATGAATGGTACTGAAAAAATGAAACTACCGTACTTTATTACACAGTGGTAACTAACAATGTGCGGTGGCATGTTGGCTGCGATTCTAAGTCGAACGAAATTGACGACCTCCTGACTGGTCATGACGTCCCATATTCCGTCGCACGCCATCACAAAAAATTCAAAGTCATTTGTTATTTTGAGGTACGTTACATCTGGGACAGCTGGCATAAAAAAAATCATTGGGTCATCAGCGACGCTGTCACGATTGCAAAGACGGAAGAAAATAGAGATGAAGTTTAAATGACAAAGAACGCTGGCAAAACAAACATTTATATGGTGTGTTAACATTCTCATCTTGGTTCGCATCCTACAACCACATAAACGCAAACGGGTCTTAACGACAGTGAGAAAATTAATCAGCAATTAAATACAAAAATTACATAAAAGTTATTGTCAATGCCTACTAAATCAATATTTATCTTAAAATATAAAAAAAAATACAAAAATTGTCAGTATCGATTCCTATCATTACGAGCCTACATGCAGACGTTAATATGAAGTATAACTGACCAATAACCATTTGCTTTTCCGGAGGCAGATTTCCATTGTCCTTGTACATAAAGTCACCAAAGGCTCTGGATAAAGCCAGCCCGCCTGTCAATGTATATTGTTATTTCTTAAAAATAACAGAACTCGGCTGCTAAAGTTCCATTGGGAAGTCAAAAAAACTAAAAAAGAACCAAAATATGTTCATTAAAAACAAACTTAGAATCAAAATAAAATTCAACGAGTGAATTTCGGGTAATAATGTCAGCTCATTACCATTTACTCTGAAGTTGGTAACAAATCCTCCAGCTCCAGATATTCTCTGAATTTCCTTGTCTGAGTGTGGCTTGTGGTCTTCCGACAAATCTCTCGCTATGCCTCCTATGCTCACTACTGTCCTAGAGTCACCAATGTTGCTCTAACAATGATTTTCCGTAGACGGTACAAATAAATAAATGATTAAATAAATTATATATATATATATATATATATATATATATATATATATATATATATATATATATATATATATATATATAATGTATTGTTTCCAAATGTGTTTTTAAGCCACGAGTTTTCAAGGCACGTTCTCTTTTGCTTTTTGTTCATGGTGAGACGTCGCGAAAATCGAATGGCTCATTTGAAAAACAGATAAAGAAAGCAAAACAGAAAAAACATCTGATGTTACGAATTATATTGCAAGAAACGTCAAATTTGTTATCAACAGATTCTATAGCTATTTCGATAGTAAGCAAATTCGGTTGGAATTGGATTTAAAAAATTTTTGACAAAACAGTTCTGACGTGTTGGAACGGTTCTAAAAAAATAAACAATATAAAATTGTATGAATGCCCAATAAGGACATGTTCACAAATTAATTAATTCAAACAATTTTAAAAACTTTACATGCTGGAGTAATCATAAATTTTAAATTCGGATACTGCTCACAAAATGCACGCAGCTCATTTTGGGTACAAAATGACTGCAGATTAATGTGCATTATGCAGTGGGCAAATACAACAATGAATGAATAAATGAATAAATGAAAATGTTTTAACCAACACAAAACAGCATGTTCCTGACAATCAAAACAACATTGGCCGTTGAACCAACATTCGGTGGCACGCTGCCTGTAATTATTTTTGACTGATGAACATTTTTATAGAAATGATGATATCATAAGCGGTGTGTGACAAGACAAAACTTTATAACTTAGAGTATTATTATCAGTTGACCCTCATAAAACAAGGCATTGCAAACATGAGAAAGTTTTAATCAGAATTTGAACTAGGTCATCAGGCAAATGTTCAATGCAACAACGAGTAACTCATTTCTGTAAGCTAACTTATCATAAAAAACCGTGAGTCTAATAAGTTAAATAACAAAATTTGCCTTTAATATATAAATAACACATTGTATAATATTATTTGTTCAATAATTAATTAACCAGTCCGACCCATAATGGATGGACACTATAAACGAGCATAGAATAATTAATTAACCATACAAAATTTAACATGAGAAACTCTTAAAAGCATTTTTCAAAATATTTACTCAGAGTAAAAAACATCTTAACATGTAATTGTCAGTTCAAAAAATACAATGATGACTTTTTCTAAATTGATTTATTATTATACCTTGCTCAATTTTTGGTTCACAAAATGTAAAACAAATTTCATTAAAAGTCGCATATTTATATAAATAAAAAACTACCACAAGCAATAACCATATTAAGTTAACTAAATTCAATGAAAACTGTTGCCTGCAGTATAGCATCAAATAGAAACATCAACCAAAGTATTAGTATCAAATTTTCAAAAATAAATCGTTTCTGAAAATAAAATACCTCTGATCTCAGCATCAAATTGCAAAAAGGTGGATTTGAATGCTTTCGTTATGTTTCCCTCATCTATCAAAAATTGTTTAACCTTATATGTACTAATCAGTTAATGCCAGTAGATGAAATAAAAAAAAAATTCATTTTTATTTAACAATTTTATTTAAACGACTTCAAGTGGAAATAAATCCTAAATGTGTCCTGATACAAAACATTAAAACTGTTTGCTTATTTGATGAATGGTATGAAATTGGTGAATAATCAGGTTTGAAAAAAAAGAAAGTTGACTTTTTTAAAGAACGGAGATGACATTATGCATTTAAGTGCTTGGAGAAAAGATTTTATAAGAAAGGCTAGTAGTGTCTAAACTTTAAATATGTTCATGAAGCACTCATCCACTGCAGTGGGTCACAAATCATACAACACCAGAGACATGCTCAAGTTAGATGGCTGCCAGATTTTAATCTGTGCATTGTTTTTTTCAAAAATAAAAAGATTAATAATGTTTGAAGAAATGAAACCATTGGCTAACATAAATTTTTGTTTGCAAATAGCATGTTGTGGAAATTCTTGCCTGCATATAAAGAAACTTCTGGTCCTTGAATAAAATATTAATTTAAAAAATTTATTTATAAGTTTTATTCAATTTCAAAAAGTGGACTTTATTTAAACAAATTATGAACAATTTCATTGCTAGTTATTTTCTAGTGATTACTGACTGACATAGTTGAAAATTTTCTATCGCATTATAAGCAGCATATGAGCCTTTCAATCATACAAAACTGACTAAACATAACAGAAGTAAAATGCAAGAAAGAAAGTAACAACCTCCATGCCCATCAAACAGAGAGAAATAACTTGTTTCTGGCAGGTTTGGAATCTCAGGCAAATGCACATGAGCGTCCTCCATATCTACATTATGTCAACATTTAACATTTTTGCATTTTAATTCTTTAAACTATGAAAAAGTTTAAATGATTCATGATATAAGCCCTAGCTAAAATCTGCATTACAAACAAAACAAAAACAAAAATGACTAAAAATATAGTTGGGAGCATTTCAATTAATGTAATTAATATCATTGATGGTTCTTCATCAAAACTCGTCGTGAGGTACCACATGACTTAACTGTTATAACTACATGTGTATAAGACATTCATCTTAGTTCTTATACAACATACAAGATAAAGACTAATAATGTTTATTTACTTTACTACTTTTGAACAAAAAATGCCTTTTATGGTTATTATGATGCACTTTGAAAACAATTAAAAGTAACCTTTGTATTAATGTAGTGCTTTTAAAAAGATTTGTTGTTAACATTTCAGTAGAATAAAATCTGTTTTTTTTCAATCTCAGAATTCATAATATTTTTTAGGTACATATATAAAATACTACCAGAATGATTTTTGGAAAAATTGATATATTTAGCCTTTTATTAAATAACAGTTTAGTAGACTAACAATATATCTCATCTTGTTGTTCCATAATCTAAAAAAACACCATCCAATCAGGATTAAATTCATTAAGAACTAAGATTAACTACATGTTCCAAAATCAAAACAATGCAACCTGTTAATTAAGACTTAGCCCTCAATAAACAATTCAAACTTCAATAGCAGTGCAAGTAAAGAGTAAGTTATAAAAAAATAACTCCAGAAAACGTCCATTACTTACAAATCAATTAAAATAAAAATACTATTAATTATTTACAACAAGAAATTAGGCATTAGTAGTAATGCTTTCAACTCCACACTCGACTGCACTTGCTTGCACCACAAAAGATAAACTCTTAAACTGTAAACAGTGTAAAGTAAACTTACCTAGCTTGGTAACAACCACATTATCACAGAGTTTCAAACAAACCATTTCATTCAATTCAAGTACTCAGTCAAACTCAAAAAACCTTTCTTTATGGAACGCAAAGATTTTCATTTTATTAATAGATAATTTACAATAGTTTGCATTGCATGTATGAAAAACTACCCAATGCTAACGTTTGAATTTGAATGTATTAAAATTCAAAATCCCAACTCACTAATTCGCCATCCTTGCATGCAACTGGAACCACAAACGAACTTGGAGCTGGACACGCGATCAGTCTCTTTCCTCGTAACCGGCTCCGATGAACCCACTCCCATTTCTTAAAACCCAATGAAAGACATAAATGAAAAGAAATCTAACTAATGTTAGCTTTAACCGCAACGACTAATCTTTTCGCTTGGTTACTAAAACTTTAAATGTAAGATTACGTTGGTAACGAATCTATGAAAATGTAAAAGTAAAACTTATATGGGCAAACGATGTAGTTTTACTACATAAAATAGCATATTGTCATCATTCCAATTCCCAAACCTCCCAAACCATATTGGTATACAGAATACACACACATATTATATATAAATATATATAATGTTGTTTTGAACATGTCTTAAACCACATATATGTATATTAATATGTATATAAACCACATATATGTGTATTAATTATAATCAATCAACCAATCAATTAGTTTATAAAGCACCATTTCCGCAATGTTCGACAGCGCTCTTCAATGAATTTTGCAAACAGATGGGTCTTGAGATCAATTAAAGCACATTTGGTTACTGAGTCAGCTCAGTCTGTGGAAGTGCCACGTCTCACGCTGCTATTACGGCTATTACGCGATGGCATGGTTCGAGCACTCTCTGTCGGAAACTCAAATACTATCACACGTGTATGATGCGCGTCATGCATAATGTGAACGTACATAGTATGGTGTAGGTGTTTAGGCAGCTTTTGTGACAGATACAAAAATTTAAATTACAAGTATTGAATAACATTGAATACCTGCGTTTGACAGAGCTGAATTATAAAGATTAAATATAAAAATAGAGCAGGAAAAATGGCATATTAAGTTTTACTACTAAGAGTGCTTTACTGTATTGAAAGGTTAAAAGATAGTCGTTCTTTCTTGCCGTAATTGTTTTAGACTTTAATGGTATCAACGACAAATACAATACCAATGCGATTTTATTCAAATCAATGTGATTTTATTCAAATCAATGTTCAATTTATAAAATTTGTGCTATACTTGCATTAGAAACTATAACGGAAAATGGTTAGCACTGATAAAAAATGACAGATCTAAAAAAAACTTTCAACTCTAAAATTATAAATTCGCAAATTCAAATCATGAAGCTGTTCAAGTGGATGACGTATGGCTAGCTAGCTAGCTAGCTCAAAATTCTCACTCTGTGTGAACGCTGGCTCTTATACGTGATTCGATATTTATTTTTATGTTTGCATACGCCAGTGTACTTTTTTCTGAATGTAATTTTTTGTTCTACGCTTTTGTATGTTTCATAAACAGGCGCATTGGTGTGTTTTCGATCGAGTATGAATGAATTGCGTGTTTATGCATTTGCTGGTGACTGCAAGCATTTGATAATGCTTATTTGCTTATTAATTTATTCCTATCAAATGCAAGTGGGCATATTCTTCTTATTTTATTGTCAATCATGAATGAACGAACACAGTCAAGTTATAAGAGATGTAAAATTGCTATAGAATATAACTTGCTGAACAAAATTTTTATATGTTATTATCAATTAATAACGATAAAGCTGAACATTGTGAGATGAGTATGTTGTGTGTGTGCCTCTTGCTTGCTTGTGTGTGAGCAGCCAGAAATTAAAGGATTGCAAAACGATTAAATCTTTGTTTGATGATCGGATTAACTGAAGACTGCGGTTGGTTGCTTCGTTCGTTCGTTCGTAATCGAATTAAAATAACAACGAAAATAATTTGTCGAGCAGAGGTATTATTGGCTGCTGGTTGGTTTCTCGTCAATTCACAAGTGTTTGTTTTTGAAAAATCAAACTTAAAAATTTCATTGTTTATTTTATGATTTATAATTCAAATTTAAATTTCAAAAAATGAAGCCTGGTATTAATTTTAATTTCATAAAAAAAAAATATCGGCAATAACTGTTGATTAACATTATTGGGGATTTTCATTGAAATATGACATTGGATACCTCGCGTTAATTGAAATAAAGCACATCAAACATAGCAAGTTTGCATAAGAAGGGCCATGTTTACAAAGTGCGCCTATTTCATTTTAAAATTTTAGAAATCCTTAAAACTGAATCAACAACCTAGTTGTCGCCGATGTTTGCAATCTGCAATGTACGCGTTCAATTTGCATGTATGCATGTGAGTTTGTGGTTCTCTGCAAGTACTGTGCACTTGCTTGTAAGAAGCTTGTGATTGTGTGAATGTTTCAGCGTGTGCTTGCTTGTTATAAAGGAAAAGTAATGAAACATAAACATCACTGGCAGACGTTTAAAATGCATCCACACAAATTTTCACACATATGTGCAGTGCGTTAATGCGAAAGTTCAACTCTGTTAGATCGTTCTTTTGATCCATTTATTTTCTCTTGTTCGTTTTGAAAGCATGTCTCTCTCTCTCTCTCTCTCTCTCTCTCTCTCTTTCTCTCTTTCTCTCTCTCTCGTTCTCTTTCTCGCCTTCTTTCTCTCTCTCCTAGCTTTTCATTTTTCTCTCTTTTCTCCTTTTCATTAAGTAACTGTTAAATTAATATTTAAATATATAATTATTCGATTATACGTCTGCGTTCGTATCCATATATTACAAACACATGTTTGATTTAGAGCAATTTTATCGGAACAATTTTTTCAATAAAATTGTTAATCATTAATAAAATAATTATATATCGGTTTAGAAATCTTTTTTTAAATTTCCTTTAATACACAGCAAACGAATTCGGCTTAAAAAAAAACCGATTTTATAATCTATAAGAGTAACTAAGCTGCAGAATGTGGTTTATTCATTAGAAGTTTGATGTCACGGGATGCCATGTAATATGTAGTGATGTGATGTGGTTATATGATGAGATTGTGGTGCTGTATTATTTGATGTAATATGATTGGATGCGTCGTGATGTTTTTATCTGAATTGAAGTTATATGATGTGATGTTAAGTTATATGAAGTGAAATGAAGCAAATGAAGTGATATGAAACAGATGATGTGATAATATATGATGGTGTTATATGATGCTAATGTGGTGACGTGACTAATTGTAAAGATATTTGTGATGGTGTTGCAGGAAAATTTGAATGGTAGTGTAATGGTGATAAACCACATTATTAAAAGGGATGACACCGTGTGCAGGGGGCATAGACATATTTTTTTCCAAGGGAGTTTTAAAAACCTGACTTCAAGAATAGTTATAAAACATTTGTTTTAACGGAAATATATCTACATTAGATTTGACAATCAAATTTACGTTACGACAAATATTCACTGAAGCTGGTACATTTAGATTAACCCATCTTATGTAATTTTCTAATTGTTTAAAAGTATTAATTTTCTTTCAGCGTTATTATTTAAAATACTCATAATTATACTTCTAAGCGTGTTTTAGTGATGTCCATATTGCATGGAAAATAGAATGATTTTTTCCCGTACTATTAGGAGACCATGAAATCAGTTATGCTGAAAGTTCCAAAGTTGTAAATGCTTGTCTGGAGGCTTCTTAATTGCGATGAATTAAAAGTACATTGAGGGTAACCATGATGGCTGGATAAATTATCACAAATTTGTGCTCATGGACGTTGTAAGGCTCCTCGGTTATTTGTGGAAAGTTGAATAATTATATTTTATGACACGGCTGGGTGCTGATGAGAAGAATGTCCAATTTAATTGACCGACAGCTTATATTCCGGACACATGAGCATGATCTAGCAATAACAAGATTTAAAAAGGGCACTGCTACAACGTACAGCATAGCGTGGAACAAGAATACAATTCTGACTTCACCATTCTACGCCTTGACTTGCCAATTGTTTCCTGTATTTAAAAAATTAACTTGGCTTTTTCAGGTCACCTTAGTAGCTGGTATAAAAACGAGAAAAATTAATTCAATAATATGGGGCTTAAAATTTTTAGTCAACATACCGCAGACAAAGCGATGCTTTCTCTTATGGTATGGCATGGCATGACGGGAGATTTTAACTTCTATTGCGTCATGAATAACTTTGCACAAATATTCAAATTGGTAACAGGTTTAATATAACACTGTTTTCAATGTTTTGTATTTGTTCAAATTTTTAAAATTTTTATTTGTATAAGCTCTAAAATTGGCCGCATAAAAGGGAAAACAAATCGAAATCAAAAATGTTTTGCTTAATTTTAAAGGAATTTAAACCGAACACCCGGTGATACAGTGATATCAATTGCCGCGAGCACGGCGCAATGAAGTATTCAATGTCGCCGTGCTTGTTCACGCGGCAGTTTCGTCGTCATGGCTGAATTACATTTCTCAGTGACCACTGACCACGCTCCGTCTATATGCGAGAATGAACAAGTCACTCGAACGAATCTCGAGGCATTTACCTTGGCCATTATTAGACTTATGCGATGTACTGTGGTGTGGTGCGGTACGACAATTCTAGTTGATGATCCTAAGTCAAATGTTTTATTTGTTGTTATTTTGCATATAATATTCAACTTTTAATTAATCTATTAAATGAAGAATTTTTTAAAATTACATTTAAATATGAATATTTGTCAATTTTAAACATTTGAATAATGAAACAAGTTGTTATTTGAATTATCATCATCGCTTAAATTTTTAATTAATTTGATTTTTTATTGTTGTTCATACTCGCCAAAAGAGGTGCGTTCGTGTGCGTTTGTGCATTTGTGTGTGAACGCAAATGGAAGTTTGTGATTGTGTGTGTGCGTGCGTGTCTGTGTTTGTTTTTGTGCGTGCTTGTGTGAGTGTGTGTAATTTTTTTTATATGCGTGTGAATGCTCGCATTGTTGTATGCGTGTGATCTTTGCATACGCGCTAAACCCCGATTGTTTACACAGCTAGTTAAGGTATTAAGACAGGCATGACACTGAGAAGAAGTTATGAATTAATCGTTTAATTATTATTATTATTATTCCTATGATCTTATTACTTTTATTATTAACGTTTTGTTTACATATTTATTTTATTTTTTGTATTTTTTTGCGTTTTTCGGGAATTAATTTAATTAATTTTCTTAAATATCAGTATAACTCTAATGGGACAAAACCTAAGTTAATAAAATTATTAACTATACGTCTAATATTATTATTATAATGAGAC